AGACTGAAGGTTATCTCATAACCTACAGAGAACATAAAAGAAGGATTGAAGTATTTGATTTTATTGAAACGGAAGTTGTTTCACTTTGTGGCCGTGTTGATGCAAAACTGACCTGGACTGGATTTGAAGGCTCTCATGCTGTCTGCGATGCTCTCTTTGTTGCCCGGGCTGAGGCGAACCCTGTCGCTGAGGGCAGCGGTGATGTCAGTGTGGCTAAAAGACATCACCTGGAGCACCTGCTTAATCCGCGGCTCCAGGTGAGCCAGCAATGTCTCCAGTGTCCTGCCAACTCTCGTCTGGGCACCGATACGCAGTAGGGCTGTGCGTCGCTGACCAATATATACTTCCACATCCTAAGAGGCATGGAGGTTCAGGTCAGTACTGAGAAGAGAATCATGTTCCTCATAACAACAAATGAAACAAATGACTCATATCTCTTTTGTGCATTACGCATGTTATTTAGTTACAGTAATGAAACACTTAAATGGGTCTTCTTTCCAGTGAAAATGCAACTTGACTCCACAGAGAACCATCAATTTAGCTAAAAAAAACCATTTTTAATTTACATTATGGCTGCTAACTACATACGTCATTTAATACTTACAACAAATTAATACATATAAACTCAATAAGAATTAAGAATTTAAAGAAAATGGAAGGCAAACAGAAGCCAAACAATACTCTTCAAAATGCACATAAAAATGTAAAATACAGAAAATCAAAACCAAAAGAGCTTGAACCTCAGGCAGTAGTGAAGACGTCTCTGGGATCACATACACGACTAAAGAGCCACATGGACTCTCACTGAGCGTGTGAAGAGAGAGATCAGCCTCTGAAGAAGAGAAGATGCAGAAAGTAATTACTACCTGCGTTCTCATTTGACTGTAAGCTAGATTTGACAGGCAGGTGATCTCCATACTGTAATCTGTTCTGCACATGTTAAATTTACAAATTATCCCTGCACTCATGTTCACTTCATTTGGCTGTCTACTCGCCGTTATATTTTATAGTTTCTGCTGATAATATGTCTACACTCATGCACTTTAACTTATGTCAATACTGTCCATTTACTACTCTGTTCTTGCACATTTACATTTAATCTTTCATATTTAATCTTCCTATTTAAGACTAGTAATGCTTAGTTAAATCCTGGTTGTATATATTCACATTCTTATTTTTGATATCTTTTAGTACTTATTTACTTTGTATTTAATATTATATTGTGTTTAGATTTGCTAATATTGTGTTTTTTGCTCATATTGTGTGTTGGATAACCTGCTGTTGTAACGCCACAATTTCCCAGTTTGGGATCAATAAAGTAATTCTCTTCTATCTCACCTGCTGCAGTGGGCTGGTTCAGAGCATCCTCCTCCATGATTGTAGCTGTGCGGTACTTCGTCTCATATCTGTACCTCAAAGATGTGTTCTCTTTGAAAAACAAAATTAAGACAAGATTCACTGAACAGTCCATGTATCTACTAACCATAAGTTGACAGAAACACGATGTTAATAGTCACCATCTACTATATATTCATCATCCTGCATCATTGTCAGTGGGACTTTCTTCTGCTGTTCTGGTGTCACAGTCCCACGTGCGAACACAACCTCCACATCAGCACTCAACTGCAGCTATAAAATAGACATATCGAGAGGGTCATTTTTTAAAAAGGAATTACATGCTGAAAGAATACTAGACAACAAGACAGGGATGTTTCATTGACAACAAGAAGAGATGTAAACCTGCAGAATATCCAGCTCTTTTATCTGACTGAAAGGCAACCAGGCACGGTACGTTTCAGTTGTCCGCCACCACAGAGGGACTCCAATAAGGATGACCACTGCTGCTATGGAGAGAGCAGCAAGCTGGCCACGTCTGTGCTCTGTGAGACATTGACAAACAAGAAGGAGACGTGTGTGAACTCTAAGAGGTTTGATTGATTGATTGATTGATTGATTGATTAAATTGATTTCAGACATATCAAATATAATCAAACATATCAAAAATACAAAACAAAATGAAAAGCACAAAAATACAATAAACAAAATTCAAATTATTTCACAAAAAAAGAAAAAGCAAATTACATATATTCAATTGATATGCCTGAAAAGGAGTAGGAAGAAGTATAAAACTTATTTAATCCTACCCCTTTTCCACAGCTCAATAATTAATATTCATTAAATTAAATTCCTGTGTTCCTTATAATCTCTCTATATATACAATCTATCTATATACAATTTGCTATACTATATTTATGATACTATATATTTACAATCCAATGATTTTCCATACATATATATACAACTTGATATACTATGATTTTTTATAATTTATATATTTATACAATCCATATATCTATATATACATATCTATTTGTACAATTTGATGTACTATATTTACATTTTACATATTTATACAATCCTTATTTGGTACAGTATGTTTACAATTATACATTTAATACAATCTATATATATATACAATTTGATATAGGCTACTAAACGTACAATTTACATATATATAATACACATTAACATACACCTGTGTATACAAAACTTGTAAACCCAATTATTGTTATTGTTATTATTATTGTTATTATATTTATTTTAGGTTAGGTTTCTTCTTTTACAACACAGAGGGCAATTTTGAAATCAAATGCACAGGATCATTTCAAGGCAATCACCTCTGTTTCTCACTTTATTAAATAATAACAGACATTCCTGTTTGTTAGTTTACAAAGTCTGTCAATTGTGTTTCTAGAAAGGTAACAGTATCAGTGTACTCTATAGATTATTATCATACTAAAAGAACATTTCTCATTCATGCTGCACTGATTAAATAACATGTTTACATACATCATGAATGAGGGAAGAGTCTGTTTCGCTCTAATGAGGGTCGATTAAGGCACTCTAAAGTTGTAGTTGATTTGACACACAAAAACAAAAATAAATGACATCACTTAATGTTTAGAAAAACAGCAGTTTCTTCAGTCAGGACATCATTGTTGTTGCTGCAGGTGGGGCTAACGTCGGAGCTAGCCTTTAGCCTCAGACTCTCCTGACGTCACCACAACCGAGCTACACGCCACTCTTATGAAATACTATAAATTCCTCCAAATGCGAAGTGTTTCATATAAAGATAAAGTTATTAGTGCAGCATACAGTCGTGAATACTCACCCACTTCCGTAGTAGCCATTACTGTCAATGAAACAAACTGGGTGCGTTTGTTATCACTTCCGGTACACTGCCGTAGGTCACGTGGTCAACATTGGGACTAAAAAAATAATAAATAAAATAAAACGTTGTCTTCTTGATAAGTTAGCTATTATTTGATTTAAGGTATCCGAATACCGTCACCGCTGTTTGTAAATTATTTTTTAATACGTTGGTAACCATCTGTCCATTTATTGGGTTAAATCTTTTTTCCCATTTCTGTGTTTTTTTTGTTTTTGTTTTTTTTTACATAATATGCTATTTTAAAGTCCTCGTGGTGATATATGTGCTTGTATTAAATCGAGCAGTGTTTCTACATTTTTTCAATTTTTTGGAGGTAATTAAATAGTTAGAAAAACCTCATATTGCATCAGCATGTGACAACACCACAAATGAAACACTGCTTTTAATTATTTAGCTAATTATTAAAATAATTGTATCGTATCGTTTCCTTGGTCAAATTTTGCTTTTAAAATATTTTTTATTTTCATTTCATTTCATTTTTCCTTTATTTATTCTTGAGAGATCATTGAGGGCAAGCCCTCATTTACAATGACGTCAAGAGTACAATTAAAACGAATAAGAGACAAAAAAGAGAAAAAACAACGAAGACAAACTACGTAGATTAAAAGACCAAAAGAATAAGCATTTTTATGTTCTAGCCTATTGCAGAACTGAAGATTGAAAGCTGAATCACACATTCTATAGGCATATTTTAAAATGACTACAAACCATAAACTAAATAATTTCTTGATTTCATAAACCTTTTAAACCACATATTTGAATGCAAAGAAAGGCTGTGTATTTTAAGGTCCTGTGCACCGGTGAAAGCAGATTCACAACTTGAGGCTGCCTGTACAACCAGTTTTTAATTTTCATTGTCTTGCTTTGCTGGAGCAGAGGGACTCTAGGGCATCGCGTAAGGGCACCTCAGTTAAGGACACCTCAGTGGTTGCTCGCACTGCTCTTTCAATTTGATTGATTAAGCTGATCCAAAGTTGTACTATGTCCTAATAGAACCTTTAAGCTATTGCTTCAAGTTTTGTCTGTTGCATGTTAGCCAATGCAAAAACCTTTAAATTCATTGAGGTGTCAGGTTCCAATTAAGGATACTATTTTGTTGGTGTTAACTACATTTTGATTACAGACCATGCCTTTAAAAATAAAAATTAAATCACAGTGAACATTTAAAACTATGTTTTATAACCTAAACAACAAAGAACCTCTTTGTCAGCATAGTTGTTGATACACCAAGCTACTACTGAGAAGCTGTTTAGTCACACTCTCATGTGGCACAGCCTGTAAAGTGGTACAAGAAGGTTACTGTTTAAATCATCAGGCTCCTCTGGTGCTCTGTGACCTCGTGGTTCCACTTAGATGATCAGGCTCTGTAACACGTGGAGCATCTAATGGAGACTCTTAACAATTCTGGAGCTCAGACTGGGGTAATTTTAGAGGTCAAATGGAAACAGTTCTTAAAAATTACTGTCTTGCAACCATGCATGATGTTGTTCTTCCTGTTTTATAGCATGACAGCCTGCATCTGTCTAATTGTTGTGCTTGTTTGGTACTGGTTTTGTGTATCTGTTGTAGTTGTTTATGTATTTTAAAGGCCCATAAAGGAATGGGCATTGCAAATAAGCTTAAGCTATAAATGCAGTAGCGTGTGGCAACAGTTTATTTGCTTCATACTTGTTCTCCCTATACAAATAAACACAAAAATGATGAAATTAATGTCACAATTACTAGCAGAAATGCCATTGCAGCAGTAATTTCACACAGAGAGATTATGTTAATGTTTTATTTTATTTTATTTGTCTCCACTATTTGACACACTGAGTGATTCAAGAACAATATTAACATCACAAACATCACAGGAATCCAACACAGCAGTGACTGTTTCCCCCTGTGACAACCCCACTCATTGGTCCACATGAACAGAAACCATCTCCTCTTCCTGAGGGGCGAACTAGGGGGGAAATCAGGAGGGAGGGATAACACACAAGCGTCACATGATATCGACATCTTCACACAACTGAATACGTTAAGTACTGTGGGTAATTTAAAGCTAATGTTATACTGATATTAGACACACAAGATGTTTCTCCGATTAGTGGTGAGTAAAAGCGTGAACAGAAAGGTTAGCGTAGATCCTGGTGTATAGTCATATGTTACAGAGAGTCTGCTGACCTCTGCTGGAGCTACAGCTGTCTGAAAGTACCACAAAGTACAACTCCACACGTTTGGACAGTTGCTCAAAGGATCGACTCAATCTGTAAAGTCTCGCCCCTCTACAGATACACTGATGCCACTAGTAGTCGGTTGGTCCCGCTGTCAGTGAGGGTGTTACAGTAGCGTTTTTAAAGATGAGGCAATACAGCCAAACACTGACACACACACCCGTCCCTGCTTGGGAGGAGCTCGAGATGCATCACGGGGGAGAAAGCACAGAGGTGCAGTTAAGAAGAGGCATGAATACTGGCTGTTTAACTTGATCCACTGTTAACATTTGCAGCTTCTAACTTCTTGTCAATGAACATAATAAATGTTAAGAGACAGAAAATTAAAATAGTTTCCACTTCAGTCATGAATTGTTTAAAACCTTATCCGATTAGTCTGATTAAAATGCAAGAAAAACAAGATTGTTCCCTTTAGTAGTATGGTTTCACATTATGTTTTAAATACACATATCTAATAAAGTAATTTTGATAACTCTGACAATTTAAAGTACAGCAGACAGCGCAGGCCAGTGATTGATGGAGAAGTAAAGAGGGAGATAGCAGAGCAGATATAAGACTACGACTAGGCCACAGCTCAACGTGGTCGGTGTTTAGTAGGCGTGGTTAGCCACGTAGAGGGACTGTCCAGCGGCGCCACCGGTTCCTGCGGATTCGTACTTGCCGAGTGCAGCCAATCCGTTTGCCTGAAAAATAGACAAAGAAAGACGGATTAACAACACTGCGTCATTTTACTCTGCCGGAATGTGCTTGAAATCTGTTCACGGTTTTCTCTGACCTCAGCACGTTTGATGAACTGCTCGGTGGCGGCCTTCTCATTGCTCAGCTCTCCTTTCCACGCGCTCAGGGCGGAGGCCTGCAGGGCGCGGCCGTAGGAGAAGGTCAGGGCCCACGGCTTGGCAAGTGGGCAGTTGTTGATGGAATTAAGGTTTACGCTGGCCTCCTCTTCAGACTGGCCACCGGACAGGAAGGTCACTCCTGAGTAAAACAAACCAATAGACACAATGTCAATCGGATCAAACCGGCTTTTGTAGAAAATTAAAGCTATCGAGTTCTGAAAAAAAACCTGACTGCTTAAAGAGCCTGTAAGGAACTTTTAGGCTGTGTCGATTTTGGGGACACCTTTGGAAAAATCGGGATGACTAATGTCACATAACCTGTGTGGGTAGGTTTTACTGACAAAAATCTCACCCTGTCTTTTTATGTTTAATGCACAACTCCCAATAAGTCATTAGTGTAGGACATTTTCTAAAAGGCTAATTCTGCAATGTGTTCATAATCACCTTGCCTGGCATCTACCTTGTGCTTTTTTGATTTTGTAGATCAACTAGACACATCAGTATTAATTTCAGTTTGTACCGTAACAAGCAATAACCTCCTCAAATGAGCTTTAATATCTGAGGAGTTACAGACCTTTAATTCAAAAATAACAAATCCAGCAGTATCTCAAATTGAGGCAGCTTTCAATGGCTAGTGTCTTGTATCTGTATGTTTCCGACCTGTGACGGCAGGAGGCACAGTGCGGCGCAGGGCAGTGACGGTAGCCATGGCGATTTCCTCGCTGCTGTACTTGTTGGGGCAGGAGTGTCCGGCTGTGACCATGTTGGGTTTCAGCAGAGTCCCCTCCAGGTACACATGGTGGTCGGACAGAGCCTTGTAGACTGCAGCAAGGACCTAACAGCAGGAGAGAGTCACATGTGTGCTTAAAACTGTTGGAGCAAAGTGATATCTGAACTTTACAGGAAATACTGTATCTACAGGGATCTTAGTTTTATGGACACTCTCTTTTTCAGTAAATTCACCTTCTCAGTGACATACTGGCAGCGCTTCAGGTCATGTTCTCCGTCAGGGAGGATCTCAGGCTCCACAATAGGAACAATACCATTCTAGGAAACATAACAAGGTATAATTCAAATTCAATCTCTCTTATTTTCTTTTTTACAATATTGTTATAATTGCCTTATTATAACTCCAGGTGTCCAGTAATCTAACACTAACCTGCTGGCAGATGCTGGCATATCTTGCCAGAACATTAGCATTCTCCATGATGGCCAGCTCAGACGGCGTGGTGTCGCTGATCTTCAGCACGCTGCGCCACTTGGCGAAGTCTGCGCCGTCCTTCTTGTACTGCGCACAACGCTCAGACAGCCCATCCAGACCTAAACTCACGCATACACAGAGTCATTAATTAGAAACACAGCAGGGTTTTCTTTAAAGGTGTGTAAAGTCCCGAGAGTCATTATTCCTCCTACCCTGAGTGGTGGTCTCTCCATTTGTTCCAGCCAGGGGCACAACACCTTTGTCCACCTGTTCAAAGGGAGACAGATCTTTTAGATCCAAGGCTTGATCCAAAAAGGGAAATCGACTTGGTTTCGGTTCTTAAAGCGATTTACCTCTACCTCAAATTTAGAGAATGAAAATTTAGAGCACACACTCCTTGCAATTATGTACCAGTTTTGCTTATGTTTGGTCACATAACTGCTTTCCGTAGCATACACCCTGAAAGCTCTTTGACCCAGTTTGTCCTGTCAACCTGACCCACTGTTATGGGTGGTTATGTGTGCATCTAAACATGCTGGTAGTGAGTCTGTGTTTCCATATACAACGTAGTTTTACAAGCAAAACAGATGATACTAACCTAAAGTTCTTTTTTAGAACCAATGCTGTTCTTGTGAAGATGTTCAAAGCAAAAGCATACAGCCTCTAAAAAAAGTTCCTGTGTTTAAGAGTCTTAAGTATAGACGGACTGTAAACAAGAAGAGCCAGTAGCTGAGACTGAACAGTGTGGCTGAAAGCTGTACTGCCATATAAAACCATTTCCTGGTTTAAAGATCCACTTTTAGTTTAGACTTCAAGAACTTGTAAATTACAACACAAGTCGTGTACCTTGATGCCAACAACAATGCCGCGGTCTTGGATGAGCTTAGCAAAAGACGTGCCGTCGTCTGTGTTCTGGTAGAGGGTTTCATGGAAGAAGATGACGCCTCCGATACAGTTGTCAATGCGCTGGTCGGCTGTGAAGAGCAGCTGGCGGTAGCGACGCCTGTTCTCCTCTGTGTTCTCAACCCCGATGGGGTTCAAACGTTTCGCCATGCTGCCTGTACACAAAACACACACAGAGCTAATTAATGCATCACGTATGATTTAACTGATCTGCTTTTGTACCACAATAAGAGCTCTTTTTTTTTTGAATGTGACAGAACTGTCACATTAAACCTTTATGGTTTTGATAGATAGTCATGTATTCAGGATTTTGGGATTCTTAATTGTGCAATGACTATTATGTTTTGCAACATCCCACGCACAACATACCGGTGGACTCATCAGCAGCGAGGATGCCCTTTCCTGGAGCTACTATCCTCTGAGCGATGTCCTGCAGCTCCTTCTTCTGCTCAGGAGTCAGTGCGGGATACTGGTGAGTCATGGTGGCTGAAAGACACAGAGAGGGAGAGGTGCCATGGAGATCACATTCTTTCACGGTATGTCGACCTGGAAGAATGCCCAGCAAGGGCCTCGCTTTTTGTCCCTCCATTGTCCCTCAACAAGGCTGCCTCAGAGGGTTCAGTGTGCATGTGTTGAAATGTGATAGAACCAAAGTCTGTGAGCCTGAGAGGAAACAAGCGACAGATAAAAACAGCTCATTTGGCTAAAATAGACCCTAATGTGACTGTCATCTAAATTCCAAATAAAGAAGTTTTAGTGACATTCATGCTTTCTGGAATTGAAGATGTCTGTTTTAGCTCAAAGGATAATTTTCTTTGATACGTTGTCTGGTCATAATGTTGGGATCAGCCGCTTTGTCGACGACGTGCTGACATGCACACACACGCTTCAAACCAGATTATTTTGTTCCCCGTTCCCTGCTTCACTCTGCTGGAAATAAGCAGTTACATAACCCCTCCCCTCCCCTCCCCTTTCCCATCCATCGAAGCACAGAAGACAGAGAGGAACATTATGTAACAGAGCTCCTATATACTCTGCAGCCAGTCCTCATTATAGACTGGATGCAGCCCGGCTCAATTCTCTCTCCTCAGCAACACTTCCCCTGTTTCCCACAATGCCATTAAATCACACTTTGTGCATTATTTCTCTGTCTAGATTGAAACACAACTTGTTTTCTGTTCTGATATGTTATTCACACTCGGTTCAGTGTCATTCTGAACTCCTGCTGTGCTCGCTGAGAGAGCTCATTGCTACAAAAAAAAAAGAAAAGAAAAGAAGAACAGCATGGGATTTGTACATCTTCATACAACCTTAAACGCAACACACCCTATAATGCCAGAGAACAAGCTGTGACTTCTCTTTCTGGTCTGCTGCACCGGACTGCCAAGCCGCTCCCAGTGAAAAACATTAATGGCTATAGAATATTTAACACCACAAGTAAATCAACATGTGCCACATTAATGCATCGGCTACTGAAGACTCTGATTGATGGATGGAAAATACCTCTTTAGTGATAAACGAAGAGGCATTCAGCTCCATGAGAGCTCAGGAAATAGAGCTAAAAAGCGAAAATATCAATAACTATATTATTACTTTATTCTCTTCATTTTTATAATAGGCTATCGTCAACTCTTTACTGCGCCTAAAGTAGCGCTGTAATGTTTGGACTGTAAAATAATACAAATGCAGATCCCAAAATGTATCTCTTCCATTCACTCAGACTCCATGCATACAATATAATGGAGAGGGCTAATTCAACAAACAAATAAGCAAAGTAAATCCATTAAATGTAGAAAGATTGTATAATATTTATATAGAGAGAGAAATTGAACACTTACATTGGACTTTTTTAGATACTAGGTTTCCTAATGAGGATGACATGCCAGTGTAGGACACTGCCTATATCCTTCGTGTTAATCCTCAGCTTAAAGCTATGAGATTACAAACTTTTCAGCTCACACAGGCATCTCAATGACAACAGTGCAGTTATTACACCACAAATGTCAAGTACAGCTCGCAACTGATAGTCAAATTCTACATGCAGGTGAAATGAAAGAGTCCAGACCTGCAGGGTACAACAACCAGTGTCCTGAGGGACTGCATGCAGACCCCTCCGGTGAATCAAAGAGAGTAAAGGCCAAGTCAAGGGCACAGTATGACATGTGGAACTGACATATGTTTGTGTGCCCACAGCCCAGGTTCACTGTTAGTCACACAAAACTCATGCTCAGCAAATACCTGCTATCTTTTGTGAAGCACCTGCGTGCTTCAACAATACACTTTCATTGACTCGGGCACCAGTGGTGTTGGGTTTCTGTTGAGGAAACATTGCAAAACACTGTATGAGGCAATGGGCAATCTTAAATGTAAGCAATGTCCTAACACAAGGAAATTTCTCAATCCTGAGATTTCTTGGTAAAAATAAAAGCAAAACGGTCACTTTCAATTACAGAACTAAACAACACCATGAAGCATGGAAATGTGCCTGCCCTGTACAGGTGTTCTTGATATCAGGCGCTTGGATACAAAAAAAGGACCTCAAAGGACAATGTCTTACTGTTAGCATGTGACGCCCCTCTGACATATGATCACTTCAGAGCAGGTTAGCTGGTAACACAGCGTTTTAAACTACACTGTTATAATTATATTTTTGGCAAAGCGTCTTTGAGGTTTAGAACACATTCTGAATTTTGATGGGCAAGGGGAAAAAAACAGATATAACCAAAATGGTAATGTTGTAGCTGTTGTTTCATACAAAAACCAGTTCAGCCATTTTGAGAAAACACCTTTAAATGTCAGGTTTCGGTTACACTTATTGGAGAAACAGCCTCAAACTGAACTCAACAATCACAGTGGCTCAAATCCACTATGAGAGAAGAGCCTATGTCCCCTCTGTTTGTTAGCACTGTAGTCTTAAAGGCATTGTTGTACCTGTCACTACTGTGGATATTGTAGCAGCAACGCTAACCGTCAGGTGACTGTCAGGTGTCCAAACATCATAAGAGGAGGTAAAAGTCTGCATCCTGATGATTGAATTTTTTATTTTTATTTTATTTCAAAGAAGAAAACATCTCAGTGTCATTGAATGTCTGGAATTTTGGTACAAAGATTTATTCACAAACTCAGGAGACAATTATATTTTTAGTATATCTGCTGCTCTGTGTCGCCAGGAAACGCTCTCCATCCACAGGGAACGGAGGAAAACATGAAGCTCCAGTTTGTGTCGCACAACCAATAATTATCACCTCCTGCAGGCCCTCGCACCACAGATGTGACGAGCTCAACGCAGGATTGAATTTATGATGCTCAATGTTAAGAATCTTGCTTCAGACTTCATTTCTTCTTGTGGTTGACAAATATTTTTTCCATGGCTCCAAATTCAACACCATAAAATGTTTTGAGGTATGTTAAACATGTTATTCTTTTAAAATGATGTCATTACTCAGCACAATGATTACGTTTTCATTATTTCAATTGCACAAGTTTGAAAACTATATTATGTTGTGTATGGAGGGTGCATTTTAATAATGTTTATGCAAATATTGAAAATACTCTTCAACTAAGAAAAACATTTGTTTAACAATATATGAATGTTAAACTTCTCATCACATGGGTTAACACTTCTAGACTGACATTCTTATTTGTTTTCATTTAAACTCTGAAGATAAAGACTTTATTTTGGGCTCTACTTGCTCAAGGACACTACAGAAGTAGACACAATGATGCATTGGTTTGCAGATACATATCTCTTATCAGAGGAAGTGCAACAGGCAGCATAAAGGTCACTGTGACATGACTTAAAGCAGCAACCTTCTGATTTGATTGTCCCTGCGTTTCATTGACGGGAGATGAGGTTTATCTTGTAGATATTGTTCGGGGTAACCTTCTGATGAAGGACATCCCTGCATGATTTAGATAGAGCTGATTTCTTAGAGTTGGCATTAAAAGGGGAGTAAAAGGGTTGTCTTTGTTGGATGAAATCTGAGAATTATTTGAGAGATGACTCTGGAGGCAGCTTAGGTTAAAGATGTATGGTCTCCATCGCTACATGTCTATGTGTCTCTTGCAGCCTGTTGAATGGTTGACAGCCTAACCAAGACGAGCACAGTTTCTGCACTGCGACATCAAGATGCAACAGCCAACTCCCTGCTGTGGCGTCATGCACGACCTTTTCAAACACTAACCACAGTATGATCAATAATACTACGATTTAAAGTCAGTCAAATTAAGCCTTATGGACATGAAAACTGATCCTGCATGGACACATGTACCAACCAGGATCACAAATACATAAAACATTTAAATCTGTCGAGATTTATCGTCTACATCTACACAAATGTATCTTTAATATGCACATTGTACTGTCAAGTGTTCATATGGTTGTAGACAGGGGCTTGTGGGGGGTAGGTTCAGTTTTTCTGCCTATTCTTAAGCAAGAAACACTTTTTTACTAAAAGTTAGTATTTCAGTCATAACCAGGATAAGGAAGTTTCAATATTGGGTCATTGCAAGTGGCTATTTCCTTATTCCTCTTCCTTACAAGCTGCTTGAACCTTATGGAGGTGAAATGGCTCCAACATGGCAGAACTAGCCAAAAGTAAAGAGCCTGCATGGTGTGCTGCGATTTGTTAGCAGACAGGCAGCTGCTGGACTTGGCAATGATGCACATCTCTTTGTTTGGGCTGTTTCTACACACAGGCCTTGATCAAGCAGTGCTCTGATACAGGAGCTTATGTATGGCAAACAACAAGGCTGCGTGCATCAGACTTCGGAGAAGTTGATACCGGTGACAATGTGCAGATTACACTGGATGAGATGTTACCCTTAAGCACTTGTAAATTAAAGTCTCTCTATATAAAGCTTTGATATTCATGACACGTTGAAACTATCTTGAGTTGGGGTTTAAGACAGAAAAGGAAACCTGATCATTTAGGTTTAAGGAACATGGGATTCTGATTATATTACTATCAGCATATGGGAAAATATTACAATGAACATTAATAGAGAACATAGTCTGACTGTTAAAACAGCAGGACATATTATTTATGACTGAAACTATGAACCATTAATCATGAGATAATGATAATTTAGTTATTCATATAATGTAAGGTTTGCTGAAGTCAAAACTAGGGAGATTCACTGCTTGCAGCAGTCGATCAAGATTGGCTAACTTTCTGAATATTTATTGGTTTGGGGACACTTTGTACCAAGGAAAATAATCAGGCAATAAAATCGACAATGGAAGGTAATGGTTGCAGCTCTAAACATCTATTTAGGAGACAAGATTGCTATTTTATCTTAATGTTTGATGGCGCAGATTTTATTTCTAGTTTAATGCGTGGATCAAAATAGTCTATAAAATATCAGAAAATCCTGGAGAAAGCCCCTCACACTTGTATGAGCCAAAGCTTTGTTCTGACCAACCATCCGATGTCAAAAATCAGAGATGCTGAAACCTGTTGATATTTGGGACCTTGACTGCTTCAAAAAAAGAAAAAAGAAAAAAAAAAAAGATTTCTATCAATCTGCCAAAATGATCCATCAATCAACGTTATAGCTCTGCAGTGGTATGGACAAAGTGTATTATGCATCCTGTTATTTTATGTGATGACAATAATTCCTGGTGTGTGAATCTTGGTGTTTTATGCATGAAGTATGTGTGAACTCCTCTGGATCACGCCCCTCCTCTCTCATCAGAGGAGGTGTACGTGCAGAGAGGCACACATACTCACTGACAGGAAACCAAAGCTGCCATCTGTACAGCTGACACAATGTATACTTATAAAAAAAAAGAATTTCACTAAAATATTTATCAATTGTTACTGAACGCAGACGCAACAGGCTCTTTTGTGTCCACTCTCATCCTTGAAGGTCACACATTCACGCCCTTCCTGTTGCGTATTTCGATGATAGGCTCAAATATTTAACTTTAAATACACATTTTGAAAACGAATGAATGACTCACACGTGTGTCTTTAATAACCAGACAACAGCAGAAGACTTACAAGAACGAGTAAAACAAATGAATATCAGGTAAATTGTGGCTACCAGCTAGGAAGATAAGTTAGCTTTGGGTTACGCAGAGCAGCATCACATCCGCATCATCACTTTGAACATCAACTTTTATTTATATTCTGTTAAATCAAAAAGGCTGTCTGTGTCTGTGATCGGATGAAGGTTCAGTCTTACCTGCTGGTGGGTGTCTGTTCGTAGAGGGTGCAGGTAGGCTGGGGTTGATGAGGATGCAGAGGAGTCTCCTGTTTCACTGCTGCAACGCAACGTGACCCTTTACAAAAGCCTGGAGCCGGGGGCGGAGCTTTGTAACCATTGCGTCATGTGACGGAACGACGCGTACGTGCTTGCGTGCGTGCGCCGGTAAGCATCGTTGCTCTGCCCCCCACAGTGAGATTGCAGCATGACGATGATAATGCATCTTTGAAGGAAAAAAAAAAAAATGGAAAGACTGGAAAAGTGTGATTCTTCTGCTCTAGTTTCCTTATTCTGAAGGTTTACGAAATAAAATAAAAACTGATTTAGAGTCAAACAGAGGCAGGAATCAAATTAAACAAGAAAAATGTTTTTTTGGTTTTTTTTAATGACAGAGCTCAGATATAGCCTATCTGTCCCGGAAAATCCATAATAATATAACTCAGATGCTGGTGACCATTTCATTTAATATAAATCCATGTAGGGGAAAGGATAATAGTATGCAAGTTTGACTAAAAAATGATTGTGGAACTAGGTAATGGCCATGAAGGCCTATTCATGCACCTTATAACTCATCATTTAGTATTTAGCCTACTTGCACATAGCTCTGTATATATATATTTATTTCTCGTTTACTGCACATAGTTCTGGTTACATCTGTTTACATCTGTTAGTCCGATCACTGTCCACTTATATCTACTCCTTTATATTTTATATTTTAAGTTAAGTTAAATGATTGTGGAACTAGGTAATGGCCATGAAGGCCTATTCATGCATCTTATAACTCACCATTTAGTATCTAGTATTTAGCCTATTTGCACATAGCTCTGTAGCCTATATATATATATTTATTTCTCGTTTACTGCATATAGTTCTGTTTACATCTGGTCACTACTGCACATAGTTCTGCTTACATCTGGTCACTACTGCACATAGTTCTGGTTACATCTGTTTACATCTGTTAGTCAGATCACTGTCCACTTATATCTACTCCTTTATATTTTATATTTTAAGTTAAGTTTAAGCTTGATTAGTTAAATGTCTAGAAGTCTGTTACTGAATCTGGAGAAACAATAAGCCCACATTGACTAGAATTAAAAGTTCTGAACGAAACTGGTTTGTTAGCCTACACTCTGAGAACAAATACTTTGTTTTAAAACATGTTCTTGTTTTCTCTGTATTTTAATCACAAATGGTGAAACGTTCCATTAATAACCTTGTCCTATAGTCCCCCTATCTTTGTTTAAAATTTAAATTAGTGGAATTGAATGTGTTTTAGCCTACTAGATCATAGTGTCATGAGAGAGTAGAGTAGAGGATCTGTTACAGATATTGTCAGAGGACGATTTCTTCTTGTCTTAAGAAAAGCACTAACTTAACGTTAAAAATCTCTGTTACGAGTGACTATGCTTCAAGTAGCCTATACTTTTGCCATGAGTTTAAAACCATTTCAAACTGTTATAACTCACTTCATGGATTCACATCCATCTATAAAATGTAAAAGTTGAATGTCTATTGTACAGGGACAAGTATGAAGCAAGTAAACTGTTGCCACACAGTACAGCACTTACAGTCTAAGCTAAATTGCAATACCTGTTTATGGAGTTGAATAGTATAATGTAGTGAGACACGTCATATGCTTATTATAGGATTTATAAAATATGAATTTTCTATTGACCAGCAGTTTCATATTGACCAGCAGTTTCAGTTATCCAACACCTTTGGTGGATACAAAATACAACATAGACTTCTCTGTGACATGTGGTAAAGTTATTATTTGAATAGAAACACACCAGTAACGTCATTCAAAACTTAATTTTACTGAACCGTTTAAGCTCCTGCGAGGTTTTAAAGGTTTGTGTTGAGTTTTGCATCCCTCGAGCAAAACCTCCTACCGCTTTGCTTATTTCATACCGTACATGTGAAAGTGTTTTTAGTGAAGTGTCACCCTGCTTTATCTTAACAGCTAAATGTATCACTCACTTTTAATTCATGCAGAAAACAAAATGTGCCTTTAATCACTTTGCCTGACACTTACCCAGCAGCAGCTGTTTTCAGACGTGACACATAACTATAAAGAAAGTCACTCTTCCTGCTGATTGTGTTGTTTGATTTTGTAGCTCATAAAGAGGCATGGATATTAGTTTTTGTCTGTTCCATAAAGAGCTAAAATCTCCTAGGAGTTTAAGTAAACGTTCCCTGCTGGATATTGTAACACTTACCTTCTTTGTTTTTGCAGAAACAATGTGGAGTAACTGATAAAGAAAGTGAAGCAACGATTGTTTTCTTTTCATTTGCTGATATGTCGATGTTTCACAACCCTCCTCTGTCTGTCTCTCTCTCTTCAACACAGAGCAGAACATCCAATCGGATCGCTGTACATTTAGAGTTTAATAATCCATCTGTGCTACAAGGTAATTACAAAAATACATAGTAACATAACAGATAACAACAAATGGCATCCAAAAGATTCATATAAACTTTATAAAGAGGAATTTATAAATAAGCATTTTTTTGTGACAAAAAAAAAAAAAGAAGCAAGCTCAGGATGACATGTGAGGCATTCAGGGTACACATCGGGGTGTGCTTCACAGAATCATAACATAACGTGATGATCAGGTAAGTGCATGAGGGTGTCATTACTGGCTAGGGTTTCGGCAGCCGTGGAGAATAGAAAAAAAGCCCTCTATCTATCAACTTTTAACTGAGGGGAAACAATAATGTTGCTCATTTAACCCTCACAGTCACAAGATCGGAGACAAAAATCAAGGCTGACCTGGGAAAACACCCCAAGTCTCTGTTAAGAAATGATTCAAACTAGGGCAGATGTTGAAGGCATACGCAACGTAATCTGACGTTATTATGCTTTTTGTATGTAGCACAGGAGCAGAAATTGTTGGTCCAGCAACAAATTGTATTCAGTAAAGGTCAAGTTTTGGTTATAAAATTGAATAAAAATAGGATATAAAGCAGAAATACCTAATAGCAGGAGGAAAGAAGTTTCTTATGTCTACTTCTTCACAAACAATTTCAGAAACATGGAATATGGCAATAAAGGCAGAGTCCCATAAAAACCCTCGTTTTGTTAAAGGGGTTTTTGTTGATTTTTCCCTAAACCATATATATCTTGTAAAAAAAAAAGAAAATCAGTGCACTGTATTTAATCAGCATGGCTTTACTATGTGGGGTGACTGAGATAGCAGTTGAACATAATGTTTTATCAGGGCTATGACCCGTCTGGAAAACTGAAGTAAAGGGACAATAGCGCAATCTTTCTTGCAAAACTGTTATATAAATACAGCAGGCTTGAAAAGGCGCTCACTGGAGAAAGGCAAATGATTCCAAAAAGAGATAAAAAGAGTGCCCAGTACAAAACCAAAAACACCACTAACACAATTGGAGAAGTTGTGTTTTTTAACATGAATAAAAAGTTCCCTTCTAAACTATGTTTTTGTTTAAATCACAAGACATTTGAGAAGGCTCACCACACCCGTTTAAAAGGACGAATAAGTGTGCAGACAAACAGACCTTTACAAATAGTGTATTAAAAATGATCTTGTAAACTCAAAGTCTGTCAAACAAATACTTCCCTACGCGGGCCTTTTCCCTGAGGGGGCTGCAGTCTGAGTGCAGGGCCGGGGAACGGTGCAGCTGTGTGAGTGGTGTGCATGCTGGCATCCAGCTGTGTGTCCGGCGTGGCAGGGGGGCTGAGAAACAGGTCATAATCGAAGCCCTTGAGAGGCTGCAGAGACAAAGTGAGGCCTCTACGAGCCTTGGCCGCTCGGTCTGGTCTCTCTCTCAGCTCCAGAATCACCTGCAGAGTGACAAGGAAGTATCACATCGCTTTGAATTCTGAACATCTGTTAAACAATCGGACTCATGTTTGAAACTGGCAATATCTAGATATTTCTCTTGTGTTACCTCCACAGGCTGCCGCTGCAGCAGAGTGAGGTCAAAAGTTGTTCCATGGAAGAAGGTTTGGCGCTTGAAACGCTCAAGGGTTCTCAGGCGACGAGCAGGAGTCTTACACAAAAGCTTGACAGAGAAATATGTGCACGTGTCTATATCATTACATATCATGATACTAGACAGTTAGTAGACTACAGCATGTAGTCAGTGACATTACAGTTAGTTTGAAGGTTTTGCATTAATATGATTATAGTTTGTGTCATTACCTCAGTTATAAGCAAGGCCAGAGGAGGGCTGAAGCTGAGGGGTATTTCATAAGGGAAACCCCTCACTTTTCTCAGCATGCTGCAGTGGTCGGATTCTGGAGACACGGGGAACTGAAGACAGTTTGGGGTACATTATGTTAAAATTAATAATTAAGGATGATCTTAGAATGAACATGAATACAGAATTTACAACTTCAACAAACCCTTTAATTCAAGAAGTATTTAAAATGGCCTCAAGAAGAAAATGTCTTGTTCATTTTCACTATGTTCACTACAGCTCAATTCAAGCTCAGCTACGTCACTGACAGAATGATTGTAAGCAACATGTTTTTATCACGCAAGACACACTGAGCCCACTGGCAACAAGATCTCACCTTCCCAGTCACCAATGAGAAAAGGAGAATTCCCAGGGACCACCAATCAGCTGCATGGTTGTAGGGCCCACCACTCAGCACCTCTGGGGCTGCAAAGCAGACCAAGCATACTCTAAGCACTGGATGTACTAAATATTGTGTATTAAACATCTTTATATCTCTGTGAATATACATCCATTATTGTGAAGTAGTGGCTCTGATAGGATAAGCTAGAAATCTGAATATACTGATTATGTGTTTAAGTATTTCTCACCCATATATTGGATGGTTCCACAAATGGTGAAAGCTCTTCCTCCTCTCTCAAGGCGACGGGACAAACCAAAGTCAGCTAAGCGGAGGTGGCCTGGAACAAACCATTTTCCTTTCATCACTATGTGCACGTGAATCATGAATCATTAAATTCAAATTCATCCTACTGTAGCAGTTAAAACTGGAGGAAACATCAAAATGTTCCCTCCATAATCGGATAATATTATCAAAAGTCATTTGATTCAAAGGCTACAGATGTACATTTTGTCTTAATACATATCTATAGACATCTGTGCACATAGTGAGGATCTCTTCTGGAAGGTTCTGTGTGTGTGTCAACATATCAGAGCTGTGCTGCTCTCTGCTGGGGACAAGCGTGTACTTACCATTGTCTGTCAGAAGGATGTTCTCCATCTACAAACAACAAGTGCCAAAATCATAAGAAAGAAAAGAAAACATACTTTAATTATTTATTCTACACACCAGATTAGACACTTCAATACTACACACAAAAAAAGAAAAGTCATAAAAAATATCCTGTAACCTCGAACAACAGTCCTTAACGAACACAATCACTAATAACTGCTATTTTAAAACACAGTTCATTATATTTTAACTGCATGGATACATGTTGATTGACATGTTGATTGTACTTTACTGAATATAAATCAAAAGGACAAAATGTTGGGGCGCTGGTGGCGCAGTGGTTGGTGCACGCGCCCCATTTGTGCAGGCTGTGGTCCTTCGAGCGGGCGGCCCGGGTTCGGGTCCAGCCTGTGGCTCCTTTCCCACATGTCATTCCCTACTCTCTCTCTCCCTGATTTCCGATTCTATCCACTGTCCTGTCTCTCCAATAAAGGCACAAAAAGTCAAAAAAAAAAAAAAAAATCTTAAATTTTTCAATTGGGTCAATGGACTGAGTAAAAACATGAATTATGTGTGCTGAGAGACATATAAAAAAAGAAACCTTAAATCAGGTTAAACTTTCTCTGAATGGATTTATTCTCTTACCTTCACATCTCTGTGGATGATCCCAAAGTCATGCAGAAAGCCTGAGAACAACAGGAGAAAAAAAAATTCAAATGAAGAACTGAAATGTCTCCAATCCATATCTCTTACTGCTTGATGGCATATAAACCCATCATTGCATCACTTTGTTACTGTTAGAGATCCTCTGAGAGCTCATCTCATTTAAACCAAACCTCGTTCTATAATTACCTCCAATTAATAACAAGGGAGACTTCCCTGTAAATAACTTTGATCTAATTAAGAAAACTGATGAGAAAGGAGAAGGTTTACAATATGTCAGCATTACTCGATTAGTATTGTGTTGTGTACATACCAAGCGCGCAGCCCAGCTCTGCTGCAAACACTCGTACCGTGTCCTCCGGAAACTGACCAATCATCTGCCAGTAGGTGTACAGGTCTCCGGTGCTGCAGTAATCACACACTAAAGGGAGGAGAAGAGACGGCATTAAATCATGCCTCTGTCAGGTGAGGTGTACAGTGGGGGGGGGGGCACACACTGGTGAAAGAATTACAGGGAGGAGGGTGTAACCTGGAAGAAAGGAGAGTGTAAAGCTAACCTCCTCAAAAAGAAAGGTGAATAGCGTTTCTTAACCGTCTGACAGGCACACAGGTGTGAAAAAAATAAGTGGGTATAGGTGAGGAAGTGAACATGAGCTCTTGTGTGTGGAATAAAAGATAATTGTTACCGCTATACACAACAAAAGAAGAAGAAGAAGAAGAAGAAGAAGAAGAAGAAGAAGAAGTACAATTTGGCTAGATGACTGAGCCGCGATAAAACAGAGGGACAGGAGAGTGAGAAGTTTCGACCCACTGATAACAATGATCCTCCGCAGGTTAAAGACTCAGAGAGCCGCTGTCTTTTTTTATCCCTCCAACTGTGCTCCATATCTACATTTATGCCTTTCTGATTCAGTGATGATTCACTGTTAAAGCGAGCACGAATGTCTCTTTTGAATGTGACACGTGTGCTCTTGTTGTGAGCTGTGGAAGCATTTAACATCTGGTCCCCGGGCTAACCATGCTCTCCTTTCACAGGGGGTGGGGAAGGAAACAAACTGGGTCACACTTTCTGAGTCAGTGGTTGATTTGGAAAATAAAGGGTAACTGCTCTGGAGGAGTGGAAAAGGGGCAAAACACGGATACAGGAACAGGCAGTGGCATTTTAGGGTTGGTGCAGGGGTTCTGATTTTATCAGAATCTCTTTGTCTTTAGGTTATCAAGTTCTTGATGTGGGGTTGGGGATCGTGGGTAGACTACAAGACTACTGGTGTTGAGGTGAGAAAAGGTGGAGTGAAGGTGAGGGGTTTCAGGTAGCGGATCTGGGTTGGATTGGGTCACTGGCCTCTGGTTGACTCACTAATGTAGAGGTGGCGCTGAGTCTGCCAACAGTCCTGGAGGTCATGGACAAATGGATGGCGAACCTGACGCTGTGGGCAAAGGTCCAAGATCAGCCTGAAAAATCTCACTGGATCAAAGAGAAGCCCGTCTGTTTTCTCCAAACTTGTTTTCTGATATCTCAATTCGCTCAGAACTTCTGTAGCTTCTGGTCTTGATGGTGAAATATAAAGCCTCAGCTGGGACTTGAACATTGGTTAAAATTTGACTTTCAGAGAAGCACAAGCTTAAGTCAAAGGTGTATCACCACCTCCCCAATTACAGAGTTCAAGAAACATATTAGAAGAGGTCTGAATCCATCAAAAGCTCCAGTCTTATCGTATTTAATTTGTAATATAATTACTGTAACTGCCATCAACTTCTTTATATTTACTAAATCAGACATGTTTATATGTAATAACATATAATCTGCATGAAGAGATAGGTTTAAAAAACATGTTTTATACAATCTAATCACTTTCAAAACCTGCATGATACCCACCTGGACAATAACCTCTTCTTTGGACTGCTCCAATACACCAAGTCTTAGAATCTCTGATTTAGGTATGACCTGTGAGCAGACGAAATCACGAGGCTAAATAAGACAACACCAAGAAATATTTATTTCCCTGATTATAGTTTTACAACAAGCTCATTTAGGTTAGAGGGTTCAATAACTACAGTTATAATCACTGCTCACTAGCAATTGTGACCTTTAAAAAGTCATTTCAGCCCATCACAGCAATAACACATTATTTACAGTTTTTTGCCAGCAAAGACGATTGTATTGCCTCTATTATAGAATTTAAAAGCCTAAAAAAACCCACTTTAAGTAGAGATTGTAGAGGCTGTCATGGATTAACAAGCAGAAATCTCTTCAATAGGAACAAATATAAATACACAATCAAAGTGTAAAAAGCAGAGGACTTACTTTGACAGCATATGTCCTCTGTTGGGCCTTGTCCTTCACTTTCAGAATGGGTCCAAACGAACCTCTGGCGATGTAACTCAGAACCTGTTAAAGATTTGTTAAATAAAAAAAAAAGATTAAAAGAGATGAAGAGATTCGGGCACAAAGACAGAGAAGAGATGATAATTTAAAAACATCGGATCAGCCAGGCGTAAATGCAAAACACAACTGGTTATTGGTTGAGTGCCGACATAAATGTTGAGCTTTACCTGAAAGTGCTCATGCCCGGGCAGAGTTCTGTGAGGGAATTCCGGCAGAAACATGGTTATGAACCCTGGCAGGCTCCACTCCGCTCTTAGTTTGTCTGGGCCGACCCCGGCCAGCCTCAGGACGTGCTCTGGGATGTCAGGGGGCTTTCCTTGCAGCATCCGGCGCTGACCAAGGCGTAAGGTGGGAGGGGCCAGGCGACAGATGCCTGCTGGGATGGACAGACCCATGCTGGAGAGGAAGCCACGCCACCCAGACGAAAAGTCCTCATCTGCCTGCCCTCCTCCAGCAGGCCTCTAAAGAAAAGACAGAGGGGACAGTGTGCCCCAAGAGGCAGTTACAACTACAAGCTATCTTGTGTTTCTGAGGAGATACAAGGACCTTAAAAGTGTTCCTACGTGTTTAAAGAATCAAATGGGGCATGTTTGAAGTCTAAAACCATTCATAGCATAAGCTTCAGTCTTACCTTGTACATGTACAGTTCTCTTTATCGAAAATGATATAATTGCTATATCAGCCATGTAAAGCAACATATCATCTGCATGTAGAGATATATTATGTTCATTCCACAATACTATACTTAAAGTCCCTTTGTCTGAGGTTACAAACTCCTCACAGGCGCTTTAAATGGCCTTGCCAGTGTTGCTGCATGTTGAAGAAAATTCTAAAACCATCATATTGACAAACGCCTGTAATCCAGGTCTGTTTCACACAAGAACAAGTATCTGCACTTACTGTATCTTGGCAGACCTGTCTTACTCAAGATAAATGTTCTTCTGTTACTTAACCTTTTAAGGAGTTCATAGCTCAGTAGCTCATGACTCACAGTGCTAGTATGAGCCATAATGGACAGTGCAAGTCTTTTTAAACATACAGTATATTTAAACTTGCCTTATTATTGATTCATTTTGCACACACTATAAACAATTTGTCTCTGCTGTTTGGTAAAAGTATGTTTCAACCTTTGTGGCCCCACTTCAGAAACTGGACATGTTGTGTTATTTAACTTACTAAGGTAATTATTTTCTATAATCTGCTATCTATTTCTATTAAATTTAGTTACTTAATTTGCTTCTCGGGAGCTACCAGTGGCTGCAAAAGCTAATATAGATTAAACTGGGGCAAGAGAAATGGCAGTTCCTCTTCCATGAGATGTTCCTCTGTATGTTTGCCAATTGCACTTGCAAAATGAGCAGTCTTACCTAAACCAGAAGTCTGGTTAATTAATTAGTCCTAGTACTATAAACTCCAATCTTGGTGACAGTGGTACCTTTCTATTTACAGTCTATGATACCCTGTATTCAGCCACAAAAAGGTACCAGTGACGCCCAGTAGCCAACAGATTACTTTCAAAATCCATTCTTGCTCTCATTTGAGAAGAAGAAAAAAGACAATACTTGGTCTGCATGTAATATTCAGTCACTGGGTCACACAGCCCCTCTCCCTCTGGGCTTCAGCAAAGCAGATCTGATGTTCTGTGGTGCAAGATGTGTGTAATCAGCCATGCAGGAGGATGTTATCATACAAGCCACATGAAGAAGCACATCTATAGACACTCTGCAGCCATGACTGACATCAATGTTACATTTGCTCCGGAGCAGACAAGAGCCTGGTCGAAGATAGGCTTTAATTAGGACATGTGCCTCCCACCCCGCCCCCCTTATTGATTTGTGGATGTCAATACCGGAAGCGTGTCGACTTCTCCTTCAAAATAAAGGCATACAGATTATAGTTTATTCAAGAGATTTTTTTTTTTTTTAGTGGTAGTATCGAGTGAACAGCTACAACATAATATTATTAAAGTGTAACTATAAAATGGACCGTTCAATAAACTGCAGAAGAAACTACACAACAACCCTGGTTTGATGCCGTCGTTGCCTCGTGATTTCTGGAACTAACGTTATCTCATCGCTATGGAAACGGGGAACCTCTCCACGCACGTCACACCTTAGCGACCAGGTATGTCACTGAACTCACCTTCCTGGTTTTACTGCCGTCGGCCCCCATCAGTGCGACGGGACATCAGCTCTGCAACCACGGTGCGACATCAGCTCCTCATCCAGGCACCCCACGGGAGCCCGTCCACACTTAACGCAACACTCACACTGATTTCAGATTTGAAGAAGCGAGGTGACACCTACTCCAGCCTTCATGCAGCAATGCAGCAGATCTAGCACCGCGGTGCAAAATGTGTTAAGATATGGCGACATAAAAACAAGTTAATCCCGAGTATGGGCAACGTCAGCGCAAATCCGCCCACAGCTTTGCCATCCAATGAGACAGCAACCTTGTGGAGTTCAGCTCCCCCCTGCTGCTTTCCGTACTCACAAGCGCACACATTAATTCTACAAATCTGTGATCCTTTCCACTGCAGTTTTTTTTTTTTTTTTTAAGCATTTGCCAGGCCAGACCACATGATGTGATTTTTAGTTTTGTTTTCATTGAACACATGATGCAGCATTTAATCAATTAATGCTTTTTGGAGGCATGAGATAGATCTCCAATCGACTTCTCCATCAACATCAATTCTTCCGTTCTAAAAATAAACCAGCGCATGCATAATTTCTGCAGCTTCAACATGATGTTGAGAGCAAACCCACAGGGCAGCATCAAAGGTTTAATAGTAGCTGGGGCAGGGAGCCCCAGCAGGGTGCTGATTTCAGAGCTCAAGGGGTGGTGCAGGGATGAAGTCGATAAGCATGGGGTCATAGCTTTAACAGACTAATTTAAATGGCAAAAACGCACTGCAAGATTAAAAAAAAAAAAAAAAAATCTATCATCACCAAGCAATCACTTAGTTAAGACATGGACAAACAGTGTAGTCTCCCAACACAAGATAAATACAAACCAAACCATGACATTACAACTCAAGGGCCTTTTATTTGGGACTAAACAGAGAAAGCAGTGCGATCCACACATTTTGACGTTAACATAACATTTTTTTTTTTAACTAATGTGTGGTTAATTCTACAAAATGAACCAAAGTGTTGAGCTTTAAATAAACAAGTAGAAAAGGATTTGATTAATCTGTTTGGGAGCGTTCAGGGTTAACAGGAGCATCAGCTGGACTACACATCAGGTTCAGTCATCCTCGTCAAAGTCCTTCCTGCCCTGGGGAGCTTTGGGTCCCCCTGCTGGTTTTGCCATGATGATCTGAAAGGAAACAGATGAAAGTCAGACGGATTTTTTCAGGCTGGAAGTAATGAGCACCAGGATCCACGCAGCAGGCTTTGGGCTCTTTGGCAGGGTGGCTGTCAGGCCCTTTGATGCTACAATATTCCTGTTGTTCTCAGTTAACAAGAAAGAAAAAAAATCAAATGAGACTTGTCTTAAAGAATGAGCAACTTGGTAAACACGGGAATTTAGAATTCAGTCCTTTAAAAGCTTTTGATGTACAGATATTTTTAAAATATAAAAGGCAATGTAGATCCATAAAGATACAAATCTGGGTAATAGATGGAGACTTAATATTATCAAGGCCATATGATAAATGTATGCTGCAAGAATAAACTGTATATGCTACAAAGATAAAATTCAATGAAAGCTTGTAGACTTAAATAACAATAAAATGGTCTAAAGAATTTTGTTGCTATAGAGACTTACTTAAAAAGCTACTTCCTGAAACAGGAACACTGGTAGGTTCTTTAATGTATTCAAAACAGCTTTACAGCCCTAATGAAAACATCCACTATAAACAATCTAAGTCTGTATTTTCTTAAAAGTGGTGTACAAAATATTCAACCACTGGTAAATGAGGATATGGGTTGATTTTGAGACATCTGGATTGTTTCTAATAAAAGAGGACTTTTTTTCCCATTTTACCTTCAGGCAACAAAATCACTTAGCCTCTGGCGACTTGCATTTAATGCAATGTACAGTTCATGTTTTAAATTAATGAACAGTTCATGCAATGTTGTTAAATTCTGCACTTGCCTTTACGTGTCCACTGCAATGAAGAGTTCATTAGCGCATGCAGCATGCCATCAAACCAAACCTCGTGTTTTGTGCAAGTTCAAACTCTAAGTGGTTTATTCACACCGAGTAATATTTAAACACACCTGCTGCATATATATATATATATATATATATATATATATATACACAGCATTTACCTGCAGTGAGTTTTGTTTCACACCCTGTGTTAGTAGTGACAGGCAAAAGAGCAGATGTTTCACAACGTCAGGCCCGTGAGTGCTTCAGTTCATAGTGAGTTAAAACCACACACTCATTCCAGGACCTACTGACAGAGGGAGTGTGTGTGCGCCCTCTAATGGTGAGATTCAAATTTATCAGGCTCCTCATCCCACTCGTCCTTGTCCCAGTGGCCTCTCTGCTTAGGAGTTCTGGGTCCCCCTGCAGCCTTAGCCATGATGATCTGCATCGCACACGTGTATATACACACACACTTACGTTAACTACCTGGGAACTATACATTCACATGAGCCCCACACTCGCACTTTACCATTCACTTTACATCAAATACTAAATGAATTAAAATGAGTCATCAGCCTTAAAAAGCACCTGATGCCCATCAAGAAGCCCAAATATATTTGTTAAACGCTTGAATATTAAATCCAATTATTCTGTGACAATGGGAGAAAAACAAACGCTAAAAAGCTAAATGCTGCTGTTTAATACCATATCTGCAGATTCATCATAAATATGAGAATAAATATTTATCTCTTTTTTTTTTAACAAATATCCAACAAGCTGGATTCTGATTCTATTAACAGTTTTTTTTTTATTACACTCAACAACGTGAAGACAAGAATAAACGTGTATAAATGTGGGGCCAAAAACAGACATGTGAAAAAAAAACCAGACTTGTTTGTGTAAGAATAGCTCCCTCTTACTGCAGTGTCCAGCAGTTTATAGGAAATACCTTGAGAGATTGACACATTGTTGATGTTTTGCACTTCTCATAAAATATTTCAAACTTAAATAATACTGTTTAATCTTTGATGAACTTTTAATAGAAACTATATATATATTTCTTTCTTTTTAGAGGCTGCTTTTGAGTATCTTTGTGTTGTATTTTTGTTTTTGTGAATACACACCTGGTCCACCCTCAGCACTGTGATGGCAGCATTGGTAGCCAGTTTGATGCCCCAGTGTTTGACCAGATACGGCTCCACAATACCAGCTTCAAGCATGTCCTTCAACGCAGGGCCTTCCGCCTGAAGACAACAACACATTGATGCTGTCAGACCCACACACAGAAATACAGAGCTCCTCACATTCAAAGGTGACAATGACAATAAACACATCTGTCTTATGCACACACTTCTCATTTTGTAGCACCATCCTCTATAAAATAACAAGACTCCCTTCATCATAATCAAGTCATTCAAGTCTCATTAAGTAGAAGTACACACCTCGATGTCAAAGCCCATATTTTTGTTTCCCTCATGATGTGCGGAGTAAAGTTTAGAGATGAGTTCGCTCCCCTTCACTCCAGAGTTCTCAGCCAGCGCACGAGGCAAAGCCTCGAAGGCTTCAGCAAACTTTTTGATGGCGTACTGCTCCAGACCAGGGCAAGACTACAGAGAGGAGGGAGAACAAAAGCGGACATTTTTGTTGAGCCAGTGATGCCGGAAAATAAAACTAAAAAGATCACAACCAAAAGCAGGAGGGGTTTGTTTATCTTTGAGTCAAAGCTTCATACCTCTCCATATGAGGTGATCTGTTTGGCCAGCTCAATCTCAGTGGCTCCTGCTCCGGGTACCAGGCGTTTGTCCTGCAGAAGGTTATGACAGAGACAATGTTGTCATGGTGCAGGCAATGAGTTTAAAATGTAAGCATTCAACTGAAATCACCAAAATTCTGGAGAGATAATAAAGCTACTGCATTATCAACATCAGCTTTTGTCATATGTAATGCTTCACATTATCTTGTATTTTGAGGGAGATGGAGATGATGGTTTTTGTTGCACCATATTTTGCTTTTCTGTGAGAATTTGTATTTATTTAATGTCATTTCATTTAGATATGGTTTCCTCAAAGTTGCGAAAAAAATCTCCAGTGGCTACTTGTGTTGACTTACCCTGACTAGAACCTTGAAGGTGTTGACTCCATCGTCCACAGCCCTCTCGATGTCGTCCATCAGGTTGTCTGTGGAGCCTCTGATCACGACCGTCGAGATGGCACCGTCCTCTTTCTCTGTTTTAAAACATTCAACAAATGATTAACTCAAAGATCAGGTTATAAATTAAGATTCACAACGTGGGAACAAAGTGATTTACCGTGTTTGAAGACCACCACTTGAGTGTCCCCGACCTCGGACAGGTAAACGTTGTCACAGTGACCAATCTCATCTGGAGTTGGAGCCGTCTAAGGAGGCAGGAAAGCATCATTATACATGATTTCTGTTTCTCCTGGTACAAATGTCAGATGTAAAGGAAACAAGGAAACACTCACCATCCTGGGCAGGGCTACAGCTCCCACTGTCTTACACAACCGCCTGAGGTCCCACTTTGAATTGAGTCTGATGGGGAAAGGGGGGATTTTATGAAAATTAATAACACTGACAATAAAGGCATACTCCCCATAAAGCTTCTTTGATATCACAAGAGCACTTCCATTGTAAAAAAAAAATAAAAAAATCAGATCCTTAAATCTCTCACTTTTGAGATATTTATTAGATACACTAAACTCCTTGAATTGAAATTTAATAAAACTTTGAATGTGATACATTTGAAATTGACAGCCATTCTGTTCCTTCACATATTCAACATCCACCACAAACACTTACCGGACCACCATGAGCTGGTACTTGTTGGCATAGTGCAGCGCCATGTCAGCAACTTTCCCCCCAGTGACCACCACGTTGGCACCAGCCGCCTTGATGGCCTTCACCTGAGCCTCCATCATGTCCTCCTCTCCCTTACTGAAGTGCATCAGCTCCTGTGCATTGTTGATCAGCACTGTGCCCTGTGAGGTGGAGACGACTTTTGTTTAGATCATTTCATTACACCTTTATACAGCCGAGTGGTTTCACACCAAATCATGAAGGTAAGCATTTTTCTCAGCACACATGAAAATATTTTTTTTTACTCTTAAAATTTTAATTGCAAGAAATATGATGATTGCCAAGGACAAACAATAATAATGGAACCATATTTAAGCACCATAAGGTAAGATCAGATAACCCTTTATTTATCCCACAATGGGGAAATTTACATGTGTGCTTCTTCTGTGAAATATTAAAATGTATGCTTTGAAAAAACGATTAATGATTGGGGAATCCTGAGCATCATTTAAAAAAGAAAAAACAGGGTGGAAACAAATTCACAATTCAATAATACTCTCTATAAGCGCTAGACAAGCTCAAAAATGTCTGGCTCTGAATTATAAAATACTTTTCCTCCTTAATAAATCCCTCCACGCTCTTGCCCATCAATACCTCTATGACCTTCTTCACACACCAGACTCTGCATCTATGGAAACAGGGCCTTTAGTGTCACAACCCCCACCCTTTAATGCCCCCACCCCTCAGACATCTGCAATGCCTCATCTTTAGACTTAAACTTCTCAAAACACCATCTAAATCCTCCCTTAACTCTGCCTCTTCACTCGCCCCCCCTCCCTTTGATACCAGTCTCAGTTTTCCGTCAGATTCTTCAAGCATTAAATACAAACGAGAGTATCATTACCTTGGTTTCTGTCACCGTGGCGTCAAAGGGGCAGGAGAAGACGGCGATTTTGGCGTCTTTAACTGATGTGACGTCTCCCTCGGCTTCTTTTTTAAACACCATGCCATGAAGCATGGAGGATGATGTCACCCCACAACCCTAAAAAAAAAACACCAAAGACATTAATTTAACAGGCAAAAAAACACAAGAAAAAATAAGAGAAACAAGACAAAATACATGAATGGATCTGTGAATAAAACAACTTACGAGAATCTTGCATACTCTGACGTTGTCAACAGTGAAATTGCCGGACTCTGGGAAGATTGATACTGTAGCACAAGCAAGTTAAGGAAAGAAAGTCAGAGAAATACAAAATGAATTACTGTCCTGGACAGCTATGATTTGGTTAAAATAACTGGACTGCTGACTCACCACAGGCGTCTGCGATGAGTTTGGCGAGGAAGTCTTCATTTCCATATTGTTTACTGATGACTGCTGTACGGATGAGAGACGTTACCCTCTTTGACATCATGGAGGTCTTTAGCTGAGGAACAAACGCAATCTGGCAGGATGTCCAGGGTCTTTTTGCATGCTTTCTCATAGCCTTCAATCACCTATTTGAAACAGAAGAAGGCCAACTTAGCAAACACAGTGATTCATTTCTTTGTGTTGCACAAATTCCCCACATGTATTCTGTTTCAGATTTCAAAAGCAGCTCTTAAAACATTACTGAGACAGCTTGGTATTAACTTCTAAGGAGCCAATAAGAAATTAAGTGGACAGTATTTTCTTCAGATGACCAACGGGTCTGAAAAGCTGTCACACCAATCATGATAGTAAGTAACTAGAGTGTACCTCGGACACAGACAAGCCCATCCTGAGCAGCTCTTCAGCCAGCTCCAGCAGAGCTCCTGCAAACACCAACACAAAGTTTGTACCATCTCCAACCTCCTGCTCTTGCATGTGTGATGCCATTACAATCATCTTGGCTGCTGGGTGCTGCACCTGTAAAGAAACAAATAAGACACGGATGTAAATAGACAAACTCTCCTTATTTAGATGCATTAATGTTTTTTTTTTTTTTTTTAATGCAGTACATTGCGGAGGAATGTCAGGTTTCCTCACCTCGAGCTCTCTGAGAATAGTCGCAGCATCATTGGTGACAAACAGCTTCTCCAAGTGGTTGATGACCATTTTATTCATACCTGCAAGAAAACAACGTTACTGTTAAAACATCCTTTACTTTGTTGTTTTAATGCAAGTTAGAACAGCATCAGAAGGGGAGTGCTTACCATTAGGCCCGTAAGCAGTGCGTGTTGTCTGGGAAAGCTCCTTGCAGGCTTTGATGTTACGAAAGACTGCCTCTTCAAGTCCTGAATAGTGCTGCATTGGAGAAAATTATTTAAAAATGATTGGCTATTCATCTAAGATTCATTATATATATATATATATATATATATACACACACACACACACAATGTCAGACAAACAGTATGCAAACGGCCTTTTATGGATATATCAGTAACATCACATTTAACCAAAGTGGGGGGGAAACAAGTTAAGTGCCAGTATAACATAAAATCTAAGTTAGAGAACCCAAAACAGGAAGCATCAACATCTCTGAGCCAGAGCAGCAGAGGAGACTATCAGAGCTGCAGGTCTGACAGGGTGTGACTGCTGATTAACACCATTATATCGCAGCAGATAACACCTGCAGACACTAACTGTGTTTTTACCTGTTCGAGGATGGAGAAGCCTAATGTTTTTTTGTCATATCATCATATTAGCCCCGTTAGCTCCGAGCGGCCTGGCTTCCTTCTAGAAGTCTCCCACATGACTGCGCATGATCTCCGCGGCTAAACGCTAGTTAGCATTGCTTAGTTCACAAGAAAACAACTCGCAGCTGTTATATTGGCCCAACGAGACTTATTAACCTCACCTTTGCTCCATCCTTCAACATTTGGGCAAAGCCCGGTGCTTTTGGGACGTGGAGAGCCATTTTTTCAGATGTTTAGCAGCCCCGGTATCTTGAAGAAGGTAGCCGGCAGCGTGGTTTCAGCTCTGGGTACAAAGCCGGAGAGACGGAGGGAGGAGCGATTTCATGCGAGGCGTGGTTGGGGCTGCGACGGGTAACACAGAGGGACAAACAGAGCGAGTTTGATTTACTGCTTCGTTACCGCCGCGGCATCATTGCTGCTGCTGCTGCTCATCGATTAATTACAGTCACCATTCAGAGAAATATGCCAGACATCGCAATACTATTGACATTTCAGATAAATGCAGTAGTGATAAAACATTTAACTTGACCATTTTTAATAAGGAGCCTTTGCACACATTGCACAAGTTTACTTTTTCTTTAAATTTTATTTTATTTTATTTACCATTTTGTACCTTTTGCACAATTTAGAATTTATTACTGTAAATATTATTTATCTTATTTTACCTCATTTTATTTGATCTAGTTTACCTTATTTTGGTTGTATTGCTATGGAAGCCAATTTCCGCCAGTGAAAATAATAAAGTCATAATAATGAGATAAAAAGTTGAAATTATGAGATATAAAGTTGAAATTATGAGATATAAAGTCATAATAATAAGATAAAAATGTCAAAATTATGAGATAAAAAGTCAAAATTATGAGATATAAAGTCATAATAATGAGATAAAAAGTCAAAATTATGAGATAAAAAGTCATAATAATGAGATATTGAAATTATAAGACTTTATTATTTTCATTGTTATTTTTTTACTGGCGGAAATAGGCTTCCATATATTGCACCGATGGAGACAAACGCAATTTCGATTCCACTGTATGTCTGGCATATTTTGAAATTGACAATAAAGTTGACTTTGACTTTGACTACTCAGAATAGTTTCCCTCTACCACCACCAAGAGGAAATGGATCGGATGTGTTGCAGATTTTGACTGTCATTCTGATTTATGACATTTATTTTGTCTAGGGAACAGATGACAAAATAAAAAGTTCACAAAACATTTATTTTTTCAATTCAAAAGAATTCAAAAGTAAGAAGTATTTGAATTACATAATTAAGCTTTATTGGTTTAATTTATAACACTTTATGAGAACAACCCATATATTGATGTATGTCATATTTTCTTAACTGCATTATTGACATTATTTCAAATATGGTTATATTTTTCTAAATTGAGAAAATGATCTAGGCCAAAGATTGTTTTAAATTGTATCAAATAATAGGTAAAAGATGGACTCCGTAAGAACCAGGCAAACTAAATAAGAAAGCAGATAAGAGGCTTCATGAACCCACCAGTCACATTTCTAAATCAACAATCAAATGTTATTTGTAGGATTCTGGAGAACATTGCTTTGGTGAAAACAAATGATTTTGTGTTTAGGATCTTGATTCAGCTGTAAAAATAATATTGGTTTACATCCTAAACATTACCCACAAAAAAACTATATCTTTGAGAACGACAACAGTGACTCGCTTTAGTTTGATAAAAGAAAAGGTTCTATTTATGTCCGTAAAATTATACTTACCATGTAAAGAAAAAATAATAATAAAGGAGACAACATCAATCTTTCTTTCTTACAGGTTTTATTGCTTTTTTCCACTTCTTTCTCCCATATCTGCAGGAAGGGGATACCAATACATTGAAATGCAGAGAAATGTGTTTTACGTCATCTAAGGCTGTTTATCACTTCACTAATAACCTGCCGGATATGGTTTTATAACATCATCAACATGAAATGAGTCATTACATCTTCTCCATCACGTTACTAAATGATTTATGTTCACAGCAATGGTCCATGAATCATCAGCAGACCATTAACAGTGTGGCCCTATGACGCAAAGGAAGTGGAAAACTCTCCAACACTGCCCGAGCTGTGCATATAAAAAAAACTCACTGTTTCACAGAAAATACACTTTACATTTTGGCATAATCAAATGACATTTAAAAATGAACAACAAATGTTAGTAACATTATTACATACATGTAAAATAGAGGAAACAAATCTCCCCTGTGTCAGTAAATTGTAAATAGTGTTAGTTCTGCAAATACAGTTTTGGTGAATAGTGAATAAGTGAACAAGTGAATATAAAAATAAAGTGTGAAAAATAATAACAATGTAACTAAGACATTTGGTTGTAGCAGCTATAATAAAAGTACATAAACCACAATACAGAAATCTCTTTGGTAGCCATAGTGGGGATAATTATCCACAACCAGCTAACCTGAGATAAGTAAACACAGAAATCCCTATTTGTTTCTAAGTAAACACAGTTTATATCATAAAGACAACAAGCCTACATGTAACAGTCTCCCAATATCATGAAAACACTACTTTTTAATGAAACAGTAATACCTCAATAATATTATGGCTACAAAAGGTCCTTTTTATCTTTTCTTCTTTTTATATATACACACACACACACACACGTGTGTAGTTCAGTTGGGTTTGCGAATAGTGTTCACAGCTGTGTTGGCCCAACCCCCCACTCTGTCTGAGAGCTTTGATGCCCGACGTGAGAGGTTTGAGCGACAGAGTTTACCGTTGGGGTCCAACTTTCTCATCACTGCTCCTCCAGAACGCTCCTTGGGAGTGGTTCTGTAGAAAGAGAAAACAACTATTACTGCATTAAGCATAAACAAAGTTAGATTTGAGTTTAAAAATGTGTCTGTAAAAGGTAATTGACTCTGTGGACCATATTTTACCAACAACAAAAACACAATGAGACTGAATTAATAGAAAAAAGGTTGAAGCGAGTGCTGCACTGGGTCAAAAGATGTAGAGGAAGCAGGAGCTGCCTTTTCTTCTCAATGAACTTTGTAATCAGGACAGTCATTTTTGTAATCATACATTATCATTTTTTAGACTTTTTAAGAAAGGTGAAACATTTAAGTATTAGAGTCAATTTATGACTTTAAATTTGGAAAATGAGTTAGAAATGTCGGTAAGTAAGAGAAGTTCAAAGACCAAATACGGCAACATCAACAAAGTAAACATTTAAAGCAAAGAGCAGTAAAAGGGGAAAGGAAGTGCGACTGTAACAGACGAAGACGAGCACGTTATCCAGCAGGTCAAACAGAGCAGCCTTTCTTCAGCAGTTCATGCACTGAAATACAGACACCAGGCAAGAGCTGCCATGCGCATTTATGTCAGACAATTAGTTCCACTGCGAGCATGTGTTTCCATAACTGAGCAGGGTTCAGAAGCATTGTTTTTCATACTATGAATTACCTTCTTCCCTACTCCACCATTAGAGAGTAGTTGAACCGCCTGTTGTGGGAGGAAAACCAACGAGTTCGTCATATGGTGAGGGAAGCAGTTGGCTGCATGTAACACACACTGATAATGGACAAGGTCACTCTTCATGAGTGCTCTGTGTTAGGCAGTGTATCTCATTCCCAGAGGGCTGGCCACACTTCTTTTTTTTTTTTTTTTTTTAACATTTTGAATGTCAACACAGGAAGTGATGCAAGCGACATTTTTGTCATTTTATCTGGCTCCAATTCCCACACCCATACCCTCTCTCCCCCTGCTGTCTCCCCCTTAGTCCCTCCTTATCCGAATACCAGAAACACAGACCCAGTTTCAAACCGAGCCCGGGAAGAATGTGTGTGAGGGGGGGAGGGGAAGGAGGTCTAGGGCCCCTCAAGCTGTGCTTCAGAACGGGATTCTTGGGGTGGGAGGGGGAAGAGGGTGGTCATGTGCCTCTGAGGTCTCCTCTATGCAGAATACACAACTCTCCCCTTCACAAACATCACAGAGTACAGATGCTTTATTCACACTTCCAGAAATATTAAATTGATGTACTCTTACCTTTCATCTCTGCCAATTAGGTTATCAAAGGCCTTGGACAGATGTTTGAGCCTACTGAGTCCACTGGACACAGAGTCTAAATCTTGGTCAAACTTTCTGTTATCGACAGAAAAGCACAAAATTTAAATCAGCAAATAAATAATAATAATAATAAAAAACTGTATCATGTATCAATGCAACAGTGTAGCTCGTAAAAAAAAAAGAAGCTCCAAAAGACTCACATTCTCTGGTTCTGTGTGTTTGGGGAGGCAAAGGGACTCCGTAAAGCGGCCATGCGCACCAGCTGCCTCCTGCCGCCCGCCGTTTTCACCCCCCGTACGCCAACCTCGGGAGTCCTTCTCCCTCTAGAGCCAGGGGTACGTCCAGGTGTGGCGGTCGATCTGGGGGTACGTCGTGGTGTTGCAGCCCGGCCAGGTGTTCTTCTTGGAGTACGAGAAGTTGATGGACTAGCTTCTTCCCCGCCACATGCTCGACCCGGAGTTTCTACCAAACACTCCTCACGTGAAAACTCTCTGGTCCTCTGCAGCCTCTGGGGGATGGGGTGGAACAGACAAAGGATAAGAAAAAGGTCATGAATCAGCACTCATGAATTGCTTGATTATCATGCCTTCACTTGTGCTGGCGATTTGATTTCTAAACCTCTTCACGCAGAAAATCTCTCTGCATGCAGCTTCTGCCAAAGTAAAACCAGAGGTCCAAGTACCTGATACACTCCGCTGATGGAGTTGCGGGCACTGCGAGTGAGTTTGTGGACTGTGTTGGGTTTTGGTTGCTCTTTTATGGGTTCCCAGGTCGGATTCTCTGGGAGGGAGTTGGCCTGAACAGAACGTAGCGGGAGCCTTTTGCGCAAAGACATTCGCAGAGAATTAAGTGAAGATGAGGACTTCAGCTTGCGGAAACGATCCGGGGCTTCCGGGGAGCTCTCCGCTCCGTCAGACTCATCCAGGACTGTGTGTGCTCGCCAGACTCCTACCACAGCTTTACCAACTCCATCCATCACTGAAGACGCCATGACTGAGCTGACCGGAAAGGGGAGAGGAAGGATGGAGAACCATTAGAAAAATGTACAATTTTAACGATAGAAAAGGGAGAGGATATTTTGAATAGCAGGTTTTTAAAACAAATATTTCTCATTGTACACCGGTATATGGAGCAATAAAAACAGAGCTCAGTTATTTCCTGTTCATGTTGTAATCGTCAAAAAATCTCATCATACTTTTACATTTCTCTGTCTGTCTTTTCTGTTTATAATTAAATTATTATATCTTTTAGCAGAGGACAGTTGATTGGACG